TACTGCCTTCACCGGCTTCACTCGCATATCGCGATACCTCTTTAAATGACGTTCAAGCTGAACGACTGTTATTGTTTTCCTAGTCCGGCAAGCTCAAAGTCCAACAGCCGCAGCTCTTTGGTCGACCGCGCAAGGGGGTGGGGGGGGGGCGGGGGGCGGGGGGGGGGGGGGGGGTGACTCACTCAGGTGCAGAAAGTGAATAAGGTTGAGGATTTATCCTCGACGACGGCTTCTCTACTAGTGCGACAGTATGGTGCGAGACGTTGATGTAATGCGGCGGAGAGAGAGAAGCTCGCAGCCTTACGAGATGTGAGCATCCAGGTAAAGCAGCGTTGCTCAAAAAATCTAATCGCAACCACGCCTTCAAATCTCCGGAATGGTGTTAGCGTGAGATATTTAGTGCGGAGAGTAAGGGTTTCTGTGCTCTAAAAATAGAGTAGAACGAAAACAAATGTAAAGAGTATGAATAATGACGAAGTTGGGAAGAAACCATTCGTATCAATACATATCTGATCCGCATCGAATCGGCTTGGACTCAAATTCGTTCTCGAAGAGAACTTTTCTACAATTTGAATTCGAAGTTTCCTCTCGATACATTTTTAGTGAAGGGGTCGAGCCCTTAAGCACATGTCCATCGTGGCACGCCATGTAGGTGAACAGAGATTCCCTCTCAAGCCCGCTCGAGAGCACTTGTTGGAATTATCATATAATATCGCCACTTCGCAAAAATTGGATCGATTTTTTCCAAAAGTAAGTGCACACTTAGGGCGGAAGTGATGCAGTGACAAGTGGCGCGCTACCACGCGAGCGGTCCGGGATCAATTCCTGGGTCGTGAGTCGCCCGGGCCAACCAAGCCTTCCATCCCTCCGGGATCGGTTAATTGGTACCAGACTTGTCTGGGAGGATAAAAAACACTGACTTGAACATCGGCTGGCCCCGCAAGCCATTGTATAGGCCACATCGAATTCAAATGCCACTGCGAATGTACAAATGGAAGTAGAATGCGTGCCGCATCCCAAAACGGGATTGATCAACGGCAAATGCTTTATCCTTTTATGCTTTAAGTGGACACTTAAAAGAGATCAGATTTTGGTCCGGGATTTCCACCGGTTTCATTCCGATTTGCTGTTATTATTTCTTTTTTTCTGCGTATTCGTGGTGGACTTCTTCCTGAAGACTAGCAAGCTCAGATCAGGGCACCGTATGATTTTGGACGTTCTAATCCAGAAATCACGCGACAACTTGTTCGTTCTCCTCAATGCATTGGAAGATTGTAACCCTGATATTTATACTCAGCACACACCGAGCCGTTCACGATCCTTGACTGCCAAGAACAACAAAAGGGTAGCCCGTATGCTGTCGAATTCTTCACTGTCTGTAATTCTTCAAAACCTCGGAGTATGAAGAACGTTCATGACTAGATTACTCCAAACACACTTAGAAACAAGGGAAAGTTGTTACCACTGAATGTTTGGTGGAATTTTTAATATCGCCTAGTATTCTCAAACCTTAGGAGGAGATAGTTATAAAAGGCGCAATTCCACGTAATTCATTTTTATCATTAACATGAGCTTTCCTTTCTATGGTACTGGTATTTTAATCACATCTAGAATCACGTACTACGATGTGAAAAACTCTGTATGCCTGACGAATTGACGCGATTGTTTGATTGTTACTTTGTTTTCATGATCAAACAGGATGGAAGAATTGATCCAAACTAATCAATGAAAGATCAAAAAATTGCAAGAGAAAAAATTTGGACACTGAGAGGGAAAGTAGGTCTTTTTGTGTTTGTCTACGAGTGACGCAGTGCTTATTTGCCCATCCAAGGCATCTTACCATTAGCTTCACAAAGCTAGAATTGGCTTCTACTGTCGGTGGCCACATAACAAAAAGAGCAATATGAACATGTTCAATGCTGTTTTCATTTTGCTGATAGAAGGAACTCTATGGTGGTAGTTCGATTGGCAACCACTTTTGCAGTTGATAACCGCTACAAGAGAAAAGTTGCTCTAATTAGGAAGATCACGGATCGCAGCCGAGTGTAGTATCTTAGTACATCAACGTAATCATTGAAATGGAGAATTCGCGGGTTTCATTTGATTCCTTATTTACAAGCTGTCGGTCACCATTGACCGACATCGTCGCCAACGTGTTAAAGGTTCCGTACAAGTAAGCAAAATTAGGGTGTGCTCTTAAAAACAGCGCATTATAAGATAGGACACGAGGATAGGTCACGGTTTCTGAAAATTCCCTACTTTCAAAGCAAACAACTCTCCATGCACATTTTCTCCTTGGGTAGCCTTAAAGCCACGAGTCAGGATTAGGCAACCAGGAGAAGTGCTTCCCAAGGTGCGATAGTAGGCTCCCCAAGCACTGAGGGCGTGGCACTATCGCGACCCAAAAGCGCGCGGCAATGGCGCTAAGGCCTTGCCCGCCGCGCTGCCCGCCTGCCAGCGAAATCCACCATGGCACACATGGTCTCTGCGTCCTCTCGCGTATGACGTACTATCGCTATGTCTCTCCTGCGTACTACGGCCTCCTAAGGGAGAGTCAGTGTTTTCTATGGTGCTTTTTGGTTTTTCTCCTCACTAATGTTACTCATTGCACCCCTTGCCTGGTGTTTAAACAAAATAACGCATCATTCCAATCCCGACCGTGCCTTTACCTCATGAAAAAGCTCGATCTCAGCAGGCCGGATGAATGTTTCTACTGAAGGGGCTTGGCAGTGAGCCACACGTATTCTCGTTGAAGGAGTTTAGGAGGAGGTCCGTTGATGGTGTGGGGCTTCGCAAGCAATGTTGAAAACTGGCCGTCCCATCATTGCATGCAGTGAGGGGCAGTACCAACAATACTTCAGTACCACCTGTTGCCACTTACTGCATTAACATCTCATAATTTACTTCATTCTATTCTACCGATCGATTTATCTTTACTCTCCATAATCGTACGCATTAACTTGATTCTCTCATTGCTTCGCAGACACAAAGCCGCACCAAGGTGGACTTCTTTCCATGCCCCGCTTTTGACTCCTCACTTGCCTTCAATTGTCCGTTGAGTGTGGTTCTCTTCGGAAGCTGAATATGTCCGTTTGTGCGTCTTTGGAGTGCTGGGATACAAGAATACAAAATACGCAACCAGCTCCGGAATTCCAACAAGCTGCTCTCGAGCGGGCTTGAGATGAAGCTGTTGTCACCTACATGCGTGCCACGATGGACATTGCTTCAAGGGGCTCGAGCCCCTCCACTAAAAATTATCGAGGAAACTTCGAAGTCAAATTGTAGAAAAGTTTCTCTTCGAGCAACGAATTTGAGTCAAGATTCGAGCGGATCAGATATTTATTGGATTCGATGGTTTTTCCCAACTTCCGATTTTCATCTGCCTTTAATTTGTTTTCGTTCTACTCTATTTAGAGCACAGAAAACGTTACGCTTCCGCTGAAATACTCACGCAACAGCTTCCGGAGATTTAAAGGCGTGGGTTGCGATTAGATTCTTTGAGCAACTTTTCACGTGGATGCTCACTCTCGAAGGCTGCGAGCTGTCTCTGCTCTCCGCGCATTCATTCACTCTCGACACTACTGTCGCACAGTAGAGAGCCGTGGTCGAGGAAATCCTCAACCGTTATTCACTCTGCACCTGAGTGAGTCAGCCGGGTCCGACCAAAGAAGCTGCGGCTGTTGGCGACTTGAGACTGCGCGACTAGGGCGAGAACGAATAAAGTCGTTCAAGGCTTGAAGCGCTCATTCAAAGGAGGTATCCGCGATATGAGTGAAGGCCGGTGAAGGAGTAATTCTCCTAGTTGAGGAATCGGTGGACCTCCTGAAACCTCCTGTGCGGACTGACGCGCAATTGGCACCGAAAGATTTGACCTTGGCCACCTAGCATGACTCATTATTGGCGTGGTCGACGAGGTCGCACTGGTCATCTAATAACTCGCCGCAGGGCGTAGGGAGTGAGTAGATAGCAGAGAGAGCGTAGTGTTGAAGAGGGCACAGCAATGGGAATTGCATCATGGCGCCAATTAGCGGGCAAGGAATGAGCCCATTTCTAGGATTCTGGGCTGTTTCTCATCGTTTTTCCTTCCTTCTAGCTGAGTTGATTTGAAAGTGGTTGCTTCTCCATCAAATTTGGCCTTCAAAAGTTCTTCGCATGTTTGGAGCATGTGCTTGGATCATTAAACTGATGACAAATTTTACGCGGCCCTGGGACTGTCAGAAAAATTGCAGAAAACACTCATGAAGTGGAACTTCGACGTTGTTAATGTACTTTAAGTATTTGTAACGCAGAACGGTTGCATGTTAGAAGGCTTTTCGTCAGCGTCAGAATGAGTTTAGACATGTGAGCACAAGAAAATGAGCAAAGATTCGTCTTCAGTGGGGATTGAGCCACAAGCCGTTACTTTCGTATGTTTTTTGTCCTTCCCAGGGCCACGCCGAAAAAACGCAACTTAGTCATGCTCCAAGCATTCATCCCTGTAAGATGAAATCGTTCTAGTTCTAAAAAAACGCCCAATGTCTTGTACAACTTTTCTGATAAGGCTTCGCTTTCATCGCTATGATTGTTGCCACTTTTACTTGATCGCAGCATACGTGGTGCCCGCGCCCTCTCCTGTAAAGTGCCCTCTACGCATTTTGAACAATACTTCTAAACTAAATGTGACTGGTGACGACACTAATGAGCGCTACAACTCTGTGTGTTTTGACGTCAGCTCAACACTAGTTCTGAGATGAAAGTATCTTGAGATTCTCGTTTCACTTTTGTGAATTCGCAAATCTTAATAAATATGAATAATCGCTACAATTAATTTCTAGATATCGTCGAGCAAACGTGTAAAAGTATGTTCTCAGAAAAGGGTAGCACATGGAATATTTGGATAGCACAATGGAATATTTGGCGGCCACAGAAACTGTTTTCGATTCAAAATATCATGAACAATACTGTTCAAATAAGTAGAAATCAAAACTTTGATACACAACAGAAATGTAGAGTGAATTCAGTCACCAAACAGCACAACGTTCTTTGGGATTCATTGGAGTACCAACCGCACACTTGAACGCAGCAGCGAACTCCGGCTGATTGGCGAGCACTTGATTAACCCTGGAAGAGTTCAAATACAGAAATAAGCTGAAACAATTCCTTCAAAAATGTTATGAAGCAGGAAAGCGACGGTAGTGCCCCTGACTCACAGTTGGGACTTTGTGGAAGCGCCACCAATCTGCTCGGTAATTTTGCTCCCTAAAAATATAGTGTAAAATTTTAACATTCTATAATATTACATTCTGAGAGTTATGTATGGACCCCATTACAGTCGATCTCGACCTCTTGCTAGGGTAACTTTGCGCTCTCGCTGCGCTTGTCTGCTTTATAAGTTCTCTCAGGAAAACGTTGAGTAACGAAAGCAGATCTGAACCTTGCGGCTCAACGTAAGTGCAAAGGTAAACATCCTATTTTGAACTGCGGAATTAATTAGCTCCTTGCGAGTATCAAGACGTGGTCCAGGCCAACGTAATTTTTACTGCAGCCTTTGAGTGGTCGATCAAATCTTTGTTTTTTGCAAAGTGCTGTGTACTTAATACAAGTTGCGTGAGTAAGATGTTGCCAGAATGCTTTGCTGAAATCCAGCGATGTATGTTGAAAGCAGCTTATCCACATAGCTTCTATAAAGTGCACGTCACTTACCGGTGACACGCCTACCCCAATTCTCGTATATCGGGATGTATTGACGTATGAATACATATTCATAAACACCCAATTCTTATCATCGGTACTATTAACAGTTCACATGAGTTCTTGATGTTCAAATTTGTGAGTTGCGTGTGTAGGAAGTTGCTTATAGCAGTGAAGAATAGCTTCTCACTTATTCAAACAGAAGCTCTTAAGAAGTACAATCTTTCCAGATGCAATAAATATATGGAAACTTGCTGGAGAAAGAGGTGTGCGACCGTAATAGCGAACTTTCCAAACAAAAGAAGTATTAATGTTGACAAAACGTAATGCTTTGCGAGCGTAAGTGAGGTGGGAATAGTGGGTCTGCTCGCCTCAGCCATAGTCTGGGGTCCCAGCTTAGATGGAAACCTGCTCATGCACCTACTCAACCAAAGCAACCACATCATATGCAATCGTGCCGAACAATCACTTCTTTGGGTAGGCGACTGGGTTGCGACTCATAAGCGTGCGACAATGGCGCTAGAAGCTTACAAAGTGAACAAATGGCTGCTTTTGTGAGCTAATGGACGAGTCACCTCGCACACACTCAATGACAAACAACTTAGATAACGACGTAGCGGCCAATTCAAATACGCGCTGGTTAGTTAGGTTAGGAAAACACTCACGAGTGATTGTATTGCCGAAATTATTCAATTTTATGCACGTTTGTTCGTAGCGAATGCAATTGCGGATTCGACCCAAATTTCAAAAACTTTTTTTGTCGAAATTGAACTTTATTCCGAATAACAATTTCCACAAGTATCTGCAACAGCCCGCCATAGCCGACAAGGGAGTAAACTCCTTTCTTTCAAAATTAGGCAGTTTCGAAGGCAGTCGAAGAAGTGCCGGATTTCCGATTCCATCTGTCGGCGGTTGTCGTACTTTTTATCCTTTAGGAATTGAGCCAGGGAACGGAACGGGTGGTAATCCACAGGTGCGAGATCTGGTGAATATGGAGAATGGGGTAAGACCGTGAATCCAAGTTCCGCCAATGTGTCCTGAGTTGCCGTTGCAACATGCGATCGCGCGTTGTTATGGAGAAGAAGGGATTTGTCCAGCTTAGGACGAAGTTTCGCGACTTCAGCCGCGAGCCTGAGTATTTTTGAACAGTACATGCTCGCATCGAGTCAATGTGTGCTGAGTTGCCGTTGCAACATGCGATCGCGCGTTGTTATGGAGAAGAAGGGATTTGTCCAGCTTAGGACGAAATTTCGCGACTTCAGCCGCGAGCTTGAGTAGTTGTGAAGTACATCTCAGCATCGACGCTTATTGTCTAGCATCTCGTAATGATGTATTTCCCAAACACTGCACCAAAATGAAAGAAGAGCCTTCTTTGAATAAAGCTCCTGCTTCGGAGCGGCTCTGGCTTCTGGTTCGATCCATTCGTTGTCTTCTCCCGGTATAATATGCGTGGAGCCTCCACTTTTCATCTCCAGCAATGACATTATTCGCCCATTGAAACAGCGACTCCTTACAAGAAAACCTCTGCACATCACGATACCTCTCGTCTTGAACTGCTCTGTCAGCTTATGCGGGATCTGTCAACCAAGTTTCTTGATTTTCTTATTTTGTGGAGGGCAGGACCTATGGCTATGTCAAAGCACTGCATCTCCTTTGCCAGCTCCTTGGCGCTTGCATGCGGAATGTCTTCAAGTAGCAGCTCCGAACGTTTGAAATTGCATTCTGTAGGACGTCCATCTTCGAGGTTGTAGTTTCTTTCGCGGAACCTTTCGAACAAAAGTTGGCAGGTCTTCTCTCTTACCACTCCTTTTACTTCCACAGAGCATGCGGCAGGCTTAGCTAGCTGTGTGTCCCAGACTAAATTCGTTAAAGAGGGCAGTGGCATACATGGGTCGAAACATATGGCATTTTCCAGGCTTCGGAGAACGTGCAAGCGACGAGACTTGCGAATATGAAGGAATATAAGTATCCCTAGATATGACTTGCAGATTGATGTGCAGCCATTTCCCAGCAAGAAAATTCCGTGAGGACTTTCGTTCCGACCGACCTAATAACCTATTATATCTCCAGAAGCAGCAATGAGGAGAGAATGCGGCGGAAGGTCTTTCCTGACAGTGAAAACATTTATTCCCAGAGGTGTTCTCTAATATAGCAGCTCGCTGATATTCAGCAGCACAGCTTCCGATCCAACCCAAATCTAAGCCTACAAAGCTGTGCCTGGACTGGTCGCAGAAGCTCATGTAGCTATCATTGTTTTACTACAACTACAACAAACCAGAGAAGGTCATCAGATCGGTCCACCGATTAGTAGTGTGCTGTATACCGTTGCACTCGCCTTGAGACACTGAGCTCGAAACTGCCTTCACTAACTGCCAAACGATTCCTTGAACAGAGTCAAGCATGAAAGCTCAGTGGTAGTTCCCTGGTCAGGCAGGGAGGTGGTCGTAACTGTTTCGAGGAGCCTGCTTTTTTTTGTTTTTCAATGTCAATGTGGTGGAAAACCTTCTATCTTCGTTGATTCATCAACCCTTGCCATTATTTGCCTAAGTGAAGAGTTCGCGACCAGTTCCCGCAGCCTCTTGCCCGCGAGACAGGACACTAAAGCTGTGCTTCCTTGCTTTGCATCCCCGTTCAAAAAATCGTTGGCAGATCGGGGCTCATTACAAATGGCCGGACCGGCTTGATGACCTTCCTTGGTAAGTTTTTGACAGCTGAGTTGGGTGGAAGCGATGCATTTCAGACGATTCATCGATACACACTTCACAGTGAGGACCACTAAAACGGCTCACAATAACAGAGTTTTCCCACCCTATCCAAGAAAGGAGGTGCCAGGGCAGATCACCATGAGGTTAGAGATCAAGCCAAAACGTGACTTACCGATAGCGATGCGGAGAATGAACATCGGTGAGAATACGATGTATGAGTTTATCTCGCGTTATATTACCACACCAAATCTGTAAGAAGCAACTATACTCAACGGCTAATAGTTTTGGGTTTCGAAAGTACCATTGCGTATGCCATGAAGAAAATTTGTTCGCTGTTGTACTGTTCCAATCCTTCAATTCTTTTTTCTTCTCCGTGTTTCTTCAAATACTTCCTGTATGCCTGAATAGTAGTATTGAAAAAAGTGGAGGAAATCGTTGTACCGTTCTGAACGACTCTCATTTCATTACGTACAGTGGTTCAAATATATCTTAGAGATTGCATTACTTCTAGTTCTGGCGTTTTTGGAGCATCTAAGTTGGCGAAATCACACAATGCATAGTAGCTAAATTAAGTATTCCTGAATGACACCACTCTTTTAGCAGTTCCGCGATGAGTCAACACTTTACTTTCAGGAAGAAATCCCTACTTCCAGAAAAAAACATGGTCACTTTGCCATGACCTCCTATGAAAACTCCACTATTAGGCTTTCTAACAATTTCTGTCGTTCCTTTTCCATTTTAGTCATTTCATCAGAACTCGATAGTTTAGCGCTACCTCGTCAAATGCTGACCCAAAAACTTTCACAGCCGGGGCTTCAAAAACTACAAGAATTATAAGAACAAGTCGGGACCAAGTTTTCACTTCATGCCTGATTGTCATCTTCAAAGAAGTCTTTTTGAACTTATTCAGTCATTCTAGTGGATCGGAACCCTTCACGCTTAGGTCTACAATTTGACCTAATTCGTCATCAAGATAACAACAAAATATATACCCGAATAAAGCAGAAAAATAGCTTAAGAAGAATGAAAAAGTGAATGAATGATATGAAACAAATTTCAAACAAGTAAACAAAAGGAAATTTTAGTGGTACAATTTCAGTTCAAAACCGCTGTGAGTTCGCGTTCAAATATAATAGGAAGATCGAATTCGGTACGAAATATATTTGCAGACTACAGGGGGGACCAAAAAAAGAGTCACTCTGACTCACATTCAAAACAGAATTAATTTAACTTTGCCGGAACCGAACCAAATGTGCTCAATTGCATATTGAAAAGCACACTCCATCCTATCAGAAAAGTCACATAGGGGCTTTCTACACCGACGACATCAGAAGATTTTCCCACGGAAACATGGTTTGCGGTACGATCTCAGCGAGGTCGTCAAGAAACCATAGACGATTACGACGTCTCTGAAACGCTGGTCAAAAGCCGTTTTGCACATTCAGAGCTAGTGTCTCTAAGAATCATTCACCAGTTATCCGAGTGAAGAACTTATGTAGCAGCTCCAGAATGGAGCAAGCGTAGGCCTCTTGAGCTCGACGGTGATGACAGATGACGTCATATTCTGGAGACGGTGAGGCAGCGATTTTGGGCTTGATTTTGTTTATGGGGGGACATCTAGGGAATGATTCGCCCATATAACTCCCATAACAGCGGCATCCTTTGCGATGAAAAGTTTGATGATATGCGCCATGGGCAAAGTGACTCTTTTTTTAGCCCCCCCCCCTGTAGATCTTTTCTCTGAGACTGGATCTCTATTTTGACCAGATTGCAGACTAGATCTCTACCTTGGAGGCCTAAAGTTTTTGCATTCGATGTGAAAGCGAAACATTATATAATATTTAGTAGAGCACGGAAATTTCTTTGAAATGGTATATAGCACGATGTAAAACGTGAGATTTAGTAGGAAATTCTCCGTTTGAATGAAAACGACACCACCTATGGGACAACCTTCATGCAAAGTGTTTCATCTTTAAAGTTACCTTCAAAGTTCGCATTTCCGGAATAACCTACTAAGGGAATTTTTCTAGTATTATCAACCGATTCATTAGCATGGATATACTGTTTCAGCGGAAGCATCATTTTCCGCTTCTTTTCTTGGGTTTTGCACCGTTTCGTAATTATAAGGTCGCCCTGAAATAATGAATATTATGCTATGAGAAAGAACAAGATCTGATCATGAAAATACGCATTTGTTAAATGTAGACCTACGAAATACGTTTCTGAAATCTCGTCGTTTGGTGAGTGAGACAGATTTACGCAATTTGTGGAGCTCGGCTTTTATTTATTCTATTTATTTATTTGCGACGCTGCTTGCAGGCAGACGTAAAAACTGTAGTCGCATTCACGTACAATTAAACAATCCAAATAATTACATTATTCAATAATACAATAACTGCTTCTTTGCCCTACGTTTGAAGAATACAAAAACCTGGGGAGTAAACGGCATATTGACTTTAAGATAAATAAATGTTGAGCTAGTTCTACAAGAAAAGCTCAAGAGTTTGGGCTCTTTTTGGGGAGGTTTATAAGAAATCTTCTCTGACGATCCTCTAGTTCTAGATTTAATTAATCGATAGTATTTAGATAACTCAACTTAAGCGATACCACACATCATTTTGAGAATCACGCAAGCAGCTGACGCCTCCGCTCTTCTTTATACTTCGGCACTACTGTTGCTCAAACTAAGCGATGATCTGACCCGATAATAAAGGACGAATTCACGATGAAAAAGCAACCCATTTCAAATTAACCTAGGGATGGTAAGTGGTACACGAAAGAAGGAAGAAGCATGAGAAACGGCTCAGAACCCGAGAAATGGTACCCCTTCCTTGCTCGTTGATTCGAGCATTGATGCGATTCTCATCGCTGTGCCCTCTTCAACACTACGCTCTCTTAGCTATCTAATCACTCGCCACGTATTGAACTACGGCGAGGGATCAGATGATCGGCGGGCGGAGATCGCTGGACCCGCCAGCTTTGAGGCATAATAGGTCGTCGAGGTCAAATTTTTCCATGCAAATTGCGCGTCAATTCGCACCCTCAGGAAGTCTGTGGGTCCCTCAACTAGGTCAGTTTCCCTTTCTTCGACCTTCATTCTGATCGTGATTTCCTCCTTTGAAGTGTGAATCTCCGATGACTCCGAAATTATGGAAAAAACGCGAGCAGTTCGCCAGGAAGAAGTCGATTTCGTGAAACATTTGCCAGTTTGGAGTGTGGTACGTCCTTCTACGAACAGAACGTTTTTGGAAGTATGAGCTAGCTACCGATAGTCGACATCCTTCGTAGACTTGAGCTAACATTTCTCTTCGATCATTCCGTTCTGGTATTCCATAAGGTCCCACAAAATTTTCTTCAGATCCTTCTTGACCCAGGTGTGCATTGTAACCTAATGAGCATACTTCCGGTATTCCACATGGTGCTGCAGTGGCAGCTGGAGGGCAGTAGAGGGAGAGGAGGAAGGGAGGGTGGGGATGGGAGGCGGAAACTCTACCGTCAAGTTATGATTATTGCGATGACCTCTACTGTATGAAACTTCTTTTTTGTAACATACGCTTCTTCTACGCGAGGTGTTGGTGTCACAGATGTGAGGGACCACAGCGATACGCAGGGAAGGAAGGTCCCGGCGGTTGACGGGGGGCAAATCTGGCACAATATATTACGGCTATAAAACCTCACACAAGGAGAATTGATATAAACGATTGATGACGGACTTTTAGTGCCAGCTTCACTCCTCCATTGTCGGCTATATTCTCTCCTTGAGTGAGCTTGCCTTTTAGTTTTAGGCCCGTGCCTGGCACCTGTGAAACTTCACATCAACACAATCAAGTGCAAGGAAACTTCACATTCAGACCCAGGACCAACCTTTATTTTCCCATATTGCTCTACGATACACTGCGCTCGCTCCAGAAACTTCTTTTTTACATCTGGGTCCCACCAGTCATGGAGGTTGCCGATTGCATCGAATTGCCGTCCTGAAATTAATAAGCATGCGTTCTGGACGTTTGGGTGTTGTGTTGGTGAAAGGAGTGATGACTCTACAAGATATTTGTATAGGAGCCATTAGGTTCATTGTAACCATATGTTTGTTAGATAGGTGGTCGCGTACCTCGCAAGATAATAGCACCTTCTTCGCCCTGGTAGCGCTGCGCCACGCTCGAGGAAAAATATTGTAGGTAGAGTAAGATGTGCATACTTCACTGCGAAACAAAATACAAAAAAGTCGTTATGAGTGAGTTTTGATGAATATGTGATATATACTGTAATCACACGTGGCGTTTTGACGTTTGCAGTCGCGTGAGACTTCCGCGATTTTGCCAGCGTGGCCAGCTCCCATCTGTACTTTACATCTGTTGGTGAATGATAAATATGAGTTATGGTCTCATGGTTGTGGATGGGTTTCGTGCAAAAGGCGGTGTTTTTCATTTGGCCTTTATATTCGATCGAAATTACTCGTGAGTGATAGAGGAAATGAGAAAAAAGGAAATAAGAAAGTGATGAAAAAAATCATTTGACCGACCATTACTCTTAGGGATCTTTACGCATTCGATCGATTCATTCAGGGCTGCAATAAAGTGGACTGCCTTTGGCTTCAGTATCAGTATGCGACCAAAACGGTCAATACTTTAGTTGGCGCTTCCATCTTTGTTTGGTATCACTAACCGACCACTGATGGGCTGAAAACGTGCCTGGGTTGATTCAGTTATATGCGTGTGATTGCACGCTACTTGTCGCTACAACATCTCGGCCCCAGTATAACAGGGGTTGGTATGGCAAGAGCTGGCGAGGATCTCTCAAAAAAAACACGGAAACGTGATGTATATAGGTTGTAGGGGAAGTCTTTACGGTTTAATACACTTATCGTTCCATTCACTCTCTAAAAAACCTGTGCACCTTTCCCAAATGGTGTGGGTGGCCGGAAATGGCGCTTGAGAGGACACCGAAAAATTGTGCTGGTTTACGCGTGGTCTGCCATGGGTCTGCCCACAGCAGTTGGCGCAAACGATCATCGTCGACTTCGAGTCCACGTCCCGATGAGGCAAGGAACTTCAAGGTTGAAGTCTCATTAGCGAAAAAGTTCACACCAATTAATATCAAATAATAAATTTCACTTGCATACATATTGTGGTGGTGTTCGTTTCTCCAAGGGGTGCCGCTGGGGAATGCCCACTCTGTGGGCTGCGGTCGCGGACATTGGCATGCAGGCGACAGGTCCCCGTGAGCCAACGTATAGACTTCTGTGCCGTGCAGGAATCAAGGTGGTCCTGCTGCAAATCAGGGGACATTGGGCGCGGTTTCAAAGCCGTTCTTTGTGGCGGTCCCAGAACCTCCAATGGCGTCGGAATGATTATCTCTGAACGCTTTCGTGATTCCATAGCAGGCGCGGAGCGCTTCAACGACCGCTCGATGGAGATCACTGTCGTCAAAACAGCGAAAATACCACGCCTTCTTAGCGCACGCCTCACAGACTGGATGCTTCGAGCGAGCCAATGACAAGTTCTGGATACTACTCGATGAGAAGACGGCCGAGGGACGTGGCCGCGATCAAGGGCTACGAAAAAGGTACCTTATGAGACGGCCGCTACGCAATACCAACCACTAATTTATACGCTAAAGGTCGCTTCACCAAAACCGAAACTAGCCGAAAGGTGTGGGCTAGCGAATTAAGTAGCGGCGACTGAAGAAAAAAGAAGCGGTCGTCGTTTCCCGCACCACCGGGAACAACTGTCGACGAGACTAGGAAAGATGCCGCCAAAGCGATAACCCGGGTTGGGCAATCTGAACTCGGCCTAACCAAGCCTGAGCGGCGGAAAAAAGACAAGTAAACATGGCTGTGAACAGACCAGTTCAAAGAGAAAGTGTGCGAGAAGAATAAGCGCTACTACGCATTTTTTTCAAAAATACAGGCTGGCAAAGAAAGAGGCAAAGAAGGCTGCTGCTTCTGCGAAAGGAGCCATTTTGCTGACGTCAGCGAGAAATTCGAGTCGGTTGGTATGTTTGCCGACTTGCAGAAAGTCTCTATCGCCGAGCAAAGGATACAGAGAAAACTTCTTCGGTACAAATGACGAGACACACTTGACGGACACAAGAAAACATTGAATCATGACGTGACTACTTGGAAAACATCTCAGCAGTCGAATTTTGACATCCTGTCATCCCGTGCACAGTCCTGTTTGGAATATAACCGTGAAGGAAAGCATTACGACTGCGAAGAAGATGAAATCGGGCAAAACAGCTGTCCTAACGACTTAGCGGGGACCTATGGAAGTAAGTGCTAGAATCACGCGGTATGGTTGAGTTCTTCAACCAGGTCATTGCAGAGAAGAAGGTGTCTGAGAGTTGGCAAAGAACTCGACGACTCCTTTCTGGACGAAGATGGGCAGTCCAGGAAACCGCACTACCTACCGTCCAATTCGCCTGCTCTCCACAGTATGAAAATTTTCGAACGAATTGTAGACCGCTGTATCCGTGACTCGCCGAGCTGACCACCAACCAGTATGGTTTTGAGCCATCGATGCCGTACACGCCGCTCACCTTCTTCTAGAAAAGCATCGCGAAAAACAGAGATCGTCTCATGTTACCTTCCTGGACTTAGAGGAAGCTTTCGACCGCGTTCTTCGTGACGTTATATGGTATGCCTCACGACAGCATGGCATTCCTGAAAAGCATATTGGATGGGTGCGCATCCTTTACTCGAATCCAAAGAGCTGAGTGCAAACGGCAGCAGGCTAATCGATGGATTTCCTTCTTTGTCGGAGTACACCAAGGATCTGCGTTATCCCCACTTATATATGTTGTCGTCATAGATGCCATTGCAGGATATCTCCAAAAGTCGGCTTGGACCCTTCTTTATGCTCACGACATGATGTTTACTAGCGAAGATGAAACCACGCTCGAGCAACAACCGATTCGAGAGAGTCAGGTTCTGTTAAGATCATTTGCACTGAGCTCACAGGGGGGGGGTCGTATTGGCCTGCTGGGAGGAAATAGATCGAGCCGTATTGATGCAGTAGGATCATCACAGATGGAGAGAGACTTCAAAGATCGAATCGATAAAGAAAACCGTACGTTATCCAGGGGATATTATATCTTTCAAGTGAGTCTTGGAATCTGAAGGGAGGTGAAGCACATGGCGCACCCCAGAGTGGGCCCTCATGGTGCGCGCGCTTCAACTACGGCTCTCCGAAGAAAGAATCTAAATTCAGGAAAAATCAAGAGGATTCTGAAAGGGTTTGTGCAAAATTGTAAGGAGGAGTCTACAATTCAACAAGAAATGCAGCCTTCGGCGTCAAATTCGTAAGCACTCGATCGTTAAAGTTGAGATACGCTAAGCAATTTTACACCTCCCGGATAGAGAAAAGCACGAGAATTCTGAACGTGCTCCTAATTTTGCAAAAAATCGCCCATGAAAGCAGCTATAGTCGGCTAAATTGTGCCAATGCGGAGAAAAAGTGCTTTTCGGCGGTACTCAAGCAAAAATCCTTGACGTGGCCATCCTACTAACTATAAAGCGCTTCGTCTGTCGTCTGTCTGTCGTCTGTGTGTCTGTCACGAAATTCCCTAGCTCCTAGGGATTCGCCTGGAGGGACCGGCTCAAGTTGTGGATGTGTGTGGGCAAGGTCTACGAAATACATAACACACATCAGCTACGACCCCCGCCCAAAGAGGGCGTGGCGTGCGTCGAAATGAACAATTGTACCGAAGAACAAGGTTTCGATTTCAGTGACAAAACGACCTCGAAACTAAGCCAAAAAGTTGAGTAAAGGTGTGCTTTGATAAGTCACATCGAACTAGGGAGACCCACCCCCAGTGGGCGGGGCGTGCTCCAAAAAAGCAGTGCTCTATGAAAAATTTCATAACCCGTTTGGGAGAAAGCCTACCGAGCAGAAAACAATTTGATGTAAGGGAGCAATGTCTAAGGTGTTTTCTGCATACATGACGTGGGCGGAGTCCCGCCCAGAATGGGCGGAGCGTGCTCTAAAGTGTACAGCACTTTCTACAACTCCTCATAATTCGGGCCCGGGAAGTCCCAAAGAGCCGGAAAAAGGTGGATAGAAGTTGGTAGAGGAGTGGAGCCCAACTGTTACCGATGGGCGAGGCTTGGCCAAAGTAGGCGGAGTTTGCGACGAAATTCATAGCTTCGCTCCAAGAAGTCCCGAAGGCCCGGGAAAAGGTGGGTGGTGGTGCGTGGAGGAGTGGAGCTTAAATAATATTGGTGGGCGGGGCTAGGCAAAAGTGGGCGGAGTTTGCGACGAAAATTCATAACTCGGTTCCAAGAAGCCCGGGAGACCGAAAAAAGGTGCATGGGGGTTGTTGAAGTAGTAGAGCTAGAATACAATTGGTGGGCTGAGCAAGTCCTAGGTGGGCGGCGTTATCCACGAAAATTCATAACTTGCTTCCAAGAAGTCCTGGAGAGCGGGAAAAAAGTGGGTAGAGGTCAGCAAAGAAAGAGAAGTTAACTGCTACGGGTGGGTGGAGCGTGCGCCAATTTGGGCGGAGTTTGCGCTGAAATTGTAATTCGGCTCCAAGAAGTCTCGGAGGCAGGGAAAATGGTGGATAGAGGAGGGTGGAGGAGTAGAATCCAACTGTAGCCGGCGGGCGGTACTTGACCAAAGTGGGCCGAGTTTGCGACGAAAATTCAGAACTCGGCTCCGAGAAGTCCTAGAGATAGGGGAAACGGGGTTAGAGGTTGGCGAGGTAAAAGAGGTCAACTTCTATCAGTGGGCGGGGTTTGCCAAAAGTGTCGTAATTTTGTTCCAAGAGGTCCCAGAGACCGGTGAAAAAGGGTCCCAGAGACCGGTGAAAAAAGGGGTAGAGGTCGACGAAAGGAAGGGGCTAAATGCTATTGGTGAGCGGAGCACGCACCGAAGCAGGCGGAGTTTGGTACGGGATTTATTGTCCGGAAGCAGTCCAGAGAGGATGATGGTTGACGAAGAAAAAGAGGTTGAAAACCGTCGATAATGGAGCGGATAGAATTTGGCTGAGAATTCAGAAATTCGTGGTATATCAAGCCAAATTTGAAAATTTTCGTCGCACCATCAAAATTCGCCGCAGATCTTGCTGTGCGCGCAATGCGTGCGCAATGCGTGCCAACTGGTCTTTGTATAATGGACGTATTTAGCAGTTTCAGTGACCGTTCGATAGAGCAAATCTTCTAGTTTATGACGTGCGTTTCATATCAACCTTTCAGATTGACGGAAATGAAGCAAGTTATGGCTTTGGAAAACATAAAAACTCGCACTCATCACGAACTTTCCTCGATAATTTTGCAAAAATCCTCAAAGTAGCCATTTTTTAAATACTAGACGCATGAAGCTGCTTTGGCAAGCGTTCGATAGAGAAAATTTTCTAGTTTTGTATGCCATATCAACTTTTCAGATTTAACGAATATGAAGCAAGTTATGGCTTCGGGAAGTGTAAAAACTCGTGCTCATCATGAATTTTCCTCGTTAATTAATCTACGTTTGTTATTTCTTATTATAAATTTTTGTAATTTAAACACTGATTAGAAGAAACGCCCTTCAAAACTACCAAATCTGCTCTCAGATTGAAAATTCGTCACATTTGAAGAAAGTTACAAACATTTGAATATGTGTTCAAATTTCAACAGTAGATAAGTTGCTCCAAGTCCAACACAAAAGACGAACCAACACCCAGCTGGCAAAGGCGTTTACATGGCTTTCTTTAACTGAAAGGGAGGCGTGTAAAATTGAGAACCGTACTCTGTGTAGTACTACAATTTGGTAAGTGTTGAGAAGGAAATAAATAAAGAAGAGATGTAGTCATAGAATGCTATTCTTAGTGGTTGGTTTGTCGTTTTTTGCTCCTTTTTCGTTTGCTCGTTTGGGCGTTCCCATCAATAATAATGATTCTCTGACTTTTCACATTTGTACTTAAACGAATTTTTTGGTTGACGGTGGTGTAGCAGGGCTTTTTTTATGAGCAGTTTTGAGAGAAAATCAAACAACTTTATAGTTTGGCTTTTAAAAACCGTCATCCGGCCAGTCGCGATTTACGGAGCGAGTGCTGGCCTACGACTGAAGAGATTGAAGCCCGGCTCAGTGTGATGGAGACAAAGACGCTGCGCTGGACAGCTGTAGCTAAATTTATCGCTTTGGAAGCGATACCATCAAAGAACGATTCGGTGTGGCTGCGATTATCGACAAGGTGCGCGAATCCTGTCTTCGCTAGTATGGTCATGTTTTTCGCGGAATGATGACAGTGTCAGCAATCGGTCTCAGACTTGATGTGCCATGAAAGCTTCCTAGGAAACTTCCAAAGCGGTGGCTCTATACGTTGCACGAGGACCTTAAACCGATTAACATCCATTCCTGACCAAGTATTTAATAAGGAAATGTGGCGGCAACATGACGGAAACGGATCCCGCCTTCAAAAGGGACAGACGCTAAAGAATAAGTAGTAGAAGAATTGCACACACATGTTGGCCTTATATATGCACAAACTAAGTTGTACTGGAAGGCATTAGGCAGGTAAAAGATCACAAGTTCTACAAAGGAGTATTCTTACAACCCATCATCATCTTCCCCATATTCTTCGTCCTCTATTTATAGGTTGACGCCTTTGCGAATTTGCAATATAGAAGAAACTAGAGTCACTGCCTTCATCATCAAATCCATGAGTAGTTTCATGTCCAATCACCGTTCCAATACCACCATAGTTGAGCGCTCTGTAAATTTCAAATTGTTTCGATCTTCAATCGTTTGCAATTCAGTCACATCCTTTCAGAGTGACCGCCAGCACAGCGACTTGTGCATCGCCAGCTCAAGTGGTAAGAGTCTAATTCGTCGAACAATAACAGTTAGAGCTTACTTTGGGAAGCTGTGATCAAAGTATGGCGCTTGCAAGATGGCGGCTGGAAACTCTGTAATACGACGCTAATCAATATTGCTTCAGATGTAGATAGATCAAAAAGATATTTTGATGGGATTGGTCACAGACGTATTGCATTGACGTCGGGTGCGTAGTAAGCATTGACGACCGCAGCGTTGAAGTCGTACTCATCTCGTTCGACAGGTTTGATGAGACGTTTGAAGTCAAATTCGATGTCCCATCGTGATATCTTTTCTACCATGTCGCTGTACGAGTCGTTTTCGCTAACGGAGAACTAAAAGCTCGCGGGGAAATTTCGGCTCCTGGTTCTAACAAAGCGTAATCGCAAGTGAAAAAAATGCGCTTCCTGCGTTAATCTTAAAAGTGTCAAGGCGTTTCGATGAAATATCAAGTACGTTGTCGTAATGGTTGTCCAGTTCCTTGCCGTTGAGAATGAAGTCCGGATACGCGATCTGACTCAGCATCTCCAGAGATTTTTGAATAGCACTCTGGAATGAAATATTAATCATCAAACATTTTACATTGTGCGCTCGCCTTTGCTTCTTTTCAGTGTTCTTGTTTGTTTTTGCTGTTTTTTGCATGTTGTTGAATTTTGAAGTTCCTCCCTGCCACATATGAGATCATAATGGGATTGCTTTATTAGTCTGTCAATGAGCTGTAGGTTCGTAGGAACTATTCTGGGTGTTGTTGTGGTTATCTGATTAACCAGGGAGCTAGTCTAAAATATGGGGTGATTTTTCTTGAAAAAGGCTTCTCTTTATTTTTGGGGATATGTATGCGAAATACATGTGATCCCGATATACAAGAGTTGGGGTAGGCGTGCCACCGAAGGCAACGCGCACTTGATAGAAGCTATGTGGATAAGCTGCTTCCAACATATCAGCAAAGCTATGGATATCAGCAAAGCTTGCTGGCAACAGCTTATCCATGCAACTTCTACCAAGTGCACGTCACTTCCGGTGACACGCCTACCTTAACTTTCGGATATCGACTGCATGTATCTCTCTACTGTAAGCACCCAGCATTCTTCTTGAATTCAGATATTTAGCAGTGAATAGGATTTTCTTGCTGTCAGTCTAATGGTCAGAGACGGAATATGCCTATTCACATGAAAGCGGAGCTAGCTTATCATTTATCTTTATTTACCGTTATTTAGAACCCCGGAACTATGAGCAGTTTAATTAGTTCGGGCGTTCTTGCATTAGAAATGAAATTTATCATTTGCTGAAGATTTGTTTGAGTTTATGCAGTCGACTTCTATAAAGCAAGCTGGTCATATCGATACAATGTGCACGTACCACTACAAAAAGTATTTGTGAGTAGGGACGCTCTATTGTCAAAGCAGGCTGCGTAACGTAATTGACAACTTTTGCGTGCTGACGCGCTTTATCGGCCTTTATCTCTTGATATCACCACTTCCAATCACCCACCAACAATGTTCCCGTCCCACTTTTATAAAACTTGTAAGTATGGTTACTCTGATGTTAACGCGAGCCAGGTAATGGAGTCGACGACTTTTGCGTTCTAACAGATCTTATCAGCCCTTATCAGTTGCTATAGCTTTCAGTCATGTACCACCAATGTCCCGATCACCCCACATAGCGCTTGTAAGTGCAGACGCTTTAGTACCAATATGAACGACAAAACGAAATTGGCGATGCTCGCATTATAGCCCCTTTTATCAGCTACCAGATTTGTTCCGCCCACTACTATTTTGAAGATCGATGAAGGCGGTTGAATTCTCGAAATTTGATTCATTCCCCAGAATAACAGTTGTCCTCGTCATTTTTGTAATATTCTTGAGTTATTTTGGATAGAATATTTTTTGAAGCGAGTTACGGCGAACTGATGGCGCTCAGGATACTTAGCTTTCAAATTTGTTCCGAGAAGAACCCTGAATTTGGACGAACCTTCTTCGTTTTTTCGTCCATCCAAGTGTTCTCAGTAAGCATCTCTTGAAAGGACTCCCGAAAGTCCTCGACCATGTCCAAAGTTGTATTCTTTGATGACTGCAATTAGAAACCATTCAAGCTTCACCGTGGTGTAGCGTGGCGTGGTTTCTTTCTAGACTAACCTGATCAAACGCAGTACTCACGTAGATGGCTCCTGCAGCGAATTTCATTCTTTGCAATGTGCGAGAAGTACAATCCTTCCATCTGGGAGCTTTCTGTTTTTTCCCATACATCACACTTTCAAACTCCTCAAATCAAATTCGAAAATAAGTCAAATCAACTTCACGTGTACCTATGGAAATTATTTTCAGTCAAAAGCCTGGAATCATGTGACTGTGATAAGATAGTGTTGGATTTACAGTGGAAGTTGGAAGTGGAGGGCTAGATGATGCGTCACTGGCAAAGAAAGCAGAGAACAATCGGATGGCCCCTTTTGATCCACATATCGCTCGATTCGACTTCAGTATGCTACTTGCGCTTTCATATAGGGTGCGCTGCTTCCATACTTCACACCCACTTTATACACTCGATTTAAGAAAAAGTGTTGCAGAAACGCTTGCCATAGAAGAATTCGTCGATAGAGCCAAACAATCATGCTTCCTTCAACTTCAGCTCTGGAAAAAGCTTCAAGACATTTCTGTGGGAACTCCGGTGATTGAAAATTTTAGGTTGCTGGCTACGTCTAGGTTTAATAGTAGATGAGGTCAATGTTGTGGATTGTCAACCAGTCGATGTTGTGAAAGCAATAGTCCCACCCGGGTTTTTACTTTTGACACCAATAGTGGGAACGATGCGATAGTCTTAGTCAAGAACATAAGAAGTGTGGCTGAACAAATAACTCGCCTTGGAAAGTCGCTAGAAAGGGAGCTGAACGGCTTCGAAGGGTGTGGTTGGAATTGGCCGAGGAAACTGGCCACTCCAAAGCTGTTCAAATCCCTCTCTAGCGGCTTCCCATTGTAAGTTTTTTATTCAACCACACTTCTTATGTTCTTGACTAGGGCTAGTGCATCGTTCCACACCACTAGTGTCGAAGGTGAAAACCCTGCTGGAACTGTTATTTGAAGCGCAACGGAGATTAATCAAATGGCGACATCGCGGCACGACGTGGAGGCGCAGCATAGAAATAACTCTCCTGCGCAAAACTTCGATGTCTCTGCGATTACATACTAGTCAGGACGGCATTGTAGAACTTATGGCACTCATGGTCCGTGCATACCCTTCCCATTAGCTGTTTTACATTATCGAGGAGTCTTTTGAAGTGATTTTCTGGAGTAAAGCTCAACTTTTTCGATTGAATACAGCTAGGATTTTGTTTACTGTTACCATTAAGATAATACAACATTACATTAATACAAAGTTCCACAAAGGGGATCTGGATCCAACACAAAATCCTCCTTGGGCAAAAAAAGATTCACGATGCTTTTGGAGCGATGGGCAAGAATGTGAGGCATGTGAAGTCTTAACATTCTTCTTAAAAACCCACCATTTTCGATGCAAATGGTTCTTAGCATTATAACACATTTGAGAAAAAATTAAAAAAGCGCGGCTCCACGACTGACATACATGAGACACAAACTAAACCGCATTGTAGCCAACGTGTTGAAGGGAGTTCATTTTATGATCTTGTATTTTGTTGAGAGTTCATCTATTTGGTAATTGTTGTTATACGTTAGATGAATAGCATTATTTTCTTCAGCTAACTCTAGAGCTTTTTGGGGTATTATTCATGTTCACCCTTTTATTTACGTCATTTGGCTTCTGAATGATCTATGTGAGCTTCCAACAATTTTATTATTTTTCAAAATTGCGCTGTCACGAAGCCTCATGTCGATCTGAATGTACACACTTTGAGATTAGAAAATTTCTTACAAAGTAAAGCACAAAAGTATTCCAAAAAGGAATTCCAAAAGTGTTCATTTTAGAAATAGGCAATCTTTTGAAACGTACATACACCTTCTTCTGGCCCTGCACATTGTATTGTTGCATAATTTTTCCTCGAAATTTTGGCTGCTCACCATCTCTCAATTTGTTTTATTTGACCTTTTTCTTCTTGGTCTTTTTTCCAGGCTGATTTTCGGAGCATTAGCCTACTTTTCTGTTCTCTTACTCTACAACTTCTTGCTGCCGTGCTGGCCTGCCACGGACTTGATTGCGGCTCATTCTTGACTTAAAGGAGGAGTTCACGATTAGAATGAAGGTAGAAGGAAGGGAAGCTGACCTAGTTGAGAAAACCACGGACCTCCTGAGGGTGCGAACTGACGCGCGATTCGCACGGAAAGTTTGACCTCGACGACCTATCATGCCTCAAAGCTGGCGGGTCCGGCGATCTCCGCCCACCGATCATCTAATCACTCGCCGTAGTTCAATACGTGGCGAGTGATTAAAAAGCTGAGAGAGCGTAGTGTTGAAGAGGGCACGCAGAGAGAGTTGCAACAATGCTCGAATCGACGGGCAAGGAAAGGGTACCATTTTTCGGGTTCTGACCACTCACCATCCCTAGGTTAATTTGAAATGGGTTGCTTTTTCATCGTGAATTCGTCCTTTAATGGTGCCCCGTATTTGTTTACCCTCAGCGCCTTCTATTCTCACTTTTTCATTGGTTATTATCGTGAAGCAATGTGTTTAAGAATGTCCAGTTTGTTCCTTACGACTCAAAAATCTTGGCGGAACACTTTTTTGAGCTGCAGATTTTTTAAGTAGATTGTATTAAATATATGGTATCAACTCGAACAACTGCACAAAATCCGACTAGAAAGTAAAAAGTAAATACATCCAAGGGTTATGTTGAAATGTTCCGTGACCACTGTGTCATGATTCGCGGCAGGACTAACCTTTGATCTTTATGTGTTTTTTGTTTTTGCTTCCCTTTTGCTTCATTATCAGTGCTGATATAACTATCATAGACCAAAAAAGCGGAACTCCACATCGTATATTCGGAGAAACCCGAATTGTAAATTGAGATCTTACATTGAATGAATCCCTCACTCTTCGTTATCACAAAGGCTCAGACTCTACGGCATACCTAGAGAACTGGAACACCAATGTTCCATGCGATGCAAGAGCAACTACATCTCTTCACGGTTCCTTTGTGAGGAGAGAGGAGTTGTGCGTAGCAACCTTTTTACTGTGTTGGTCGTATCTTGAAGTTTCCCTCGATGTCTTGCTTCACCCTGCTTTGGACGAGCCGGTGAGCAAGAGGAGCTCGTTCAGCAAGAAGAGCTAATCTGGATGGCCAGTATCATACCAACAGAAATCATCGTCACACTGATAGCGTCTAACCTAGAGAAGCTGAAAGATACGGCCGCTCAAAATGAGATGCCCCTTCAAAATGGAGGGCTAAGGAGTAAGTAGGGGGGAGGGAGAGGGCGCTGGCCAGGATTGGGGTCGGCTACGCAGCGACGCAATCTATTTACTCTTTTTCTCTTTTTTACTTTTCGTATTTTCTTTACTCTTTCTCTGGAGAGCCCTCCTTCCCGCTGCAATATACCCCTTATCCAAGTCATTTATCGTAACACACCTTTAGTGAGGTAGTCTCGGACTCCTCCCCGGGTTTTCGCACCTATTTGAAGGAATCTTCAAGGAAAAAAATCGCCTGCATTCCTACAAAAAAGCAATACCTTAGGCCCCTTGCTTCATGAAGATAGCAAAAAGAACGGAACATAAGCGATGGTCTTGATAATAATTGTGATGACCAGTTCGACTATGAAAATTTTGAATTCCCGCTGTCAAACTTCCACAGCTGTTAGCGGCGTGGAGTCAACACGTGCAAATGTGTCAAAAGCGTGAACGTGAATTGGATTCATGTTGGGCCCTTCTCATAAACTGACACGTGGATCCGCACTTGCCACGCACTTCGTCACAGAAGCACTTTCGGTCCCGCCTACTGGTCCAATCCGGTCCCACGAATGGGTCTTTCCAAGGGCTGTTTCTCTTGGGGGTTTCATCATTTTCGCTCCGATCTTATGCACTTATGGTCTCCATGCTCAACACCTGTACACAAGGAAAGGATAAGCAGTCTTTCTGTGGAAGATTCCTTTGAGACATTCACGACGACGCCCCCTTTCCACTTTTCGGTCGCGTGGGACGGACGCGATTTTGTAGGTGCCGCCGCCTCACCACATAACCGCAGATTTTGTTTTGTAAATGGACAAAAACATGAATGTCACAAAATAATTTCTGCAATGTATAATGCGTAAAGATTATCTAAACATATAACACTACGATTTCGATCAGAACAACAAATAGTGGTTACTAAAAGAGAGCATTTATTCACTTTTCCCGTGAAAGAATTTAAAAGCATTTTACACTCGATTACGAGGTTTGCCCACCTATCTGTCTATTCCTAGCGCCTGGCAAACGATTATCAGTTGGCAGCCCATATGAGCGGCCATCGGCGTGAATGTGTTAAGCATGCACCTAGTACAATAGCAGTAAGGCACCCTTCATAAAGTGCGAGGGAACCAATAACACCGTCCATGCTGTTCGCCTTTTAGACGAGTCCCAGTGATTCCTACTCTCAACCATGAGCTTTGCATGAGATCACCCAGTACGAACCATTCACAGTGCTTAAAACTCACCTGTAATGTTGTCATTTCACATGAAGCCCTAACTCATGGAACCGCGTTCGTAAAAGACTGCCTTGCAAGCCAAAGTGAATCAACCTCCCCTTCAAAAAGTGAGAAAGTGTGAGGTGCAGACCAAACACCATAACTGACGACGGCCTCCAAGTAAATCTGGTTAAAAGTTGTTCATAGTGATAGCTGATTTCTGGTAAATGATAGTTGTAATTAGTGGCAGCCGATAAAATACATCTGCAACAGGCTAATCGTTGCATTGGCAGGAAACATTAACATTTTTTGAAGGCCGTCGTACTTGTGGTGCATGGTCTACACCCGAGACTTTCTTGCTGTGCGCTAGCTTGCGATTGAGTCCACTCCTTAACATGTTGCCGACATCGTTGATTTGGTATTTTTGGCCGAGTGGGATAGTAGCGATTTTGCAGGAGCGTTGGCCCAGGGTCAAGCTTGCGTTGAGGAATCCTCGACACGTCACAGGGGGGGGGAGGGGTCGTATTTGCCCGCTAGGAGGAAGAGATCGGGCCGGATTGATGCAGGAGCGTGGTAATTCTCAGTTACACCAGAGCTTTATCGCGACACAAATTAAGGAATCCGAAATTCGTACGTTTTCTAAGGGACATTTTATCTTTCAAGCGAGTCCTCGAATCTGGAGGGATGTGAAGCACACGGCGCGTCAGAGTAGGCCAGTCAGTTGCGCGCGCTTCAACTACGGTTCTCTTAAGGAAGAAATTCAATACAGGAAAAATCAGAATCGAATCTGAAAGAGTCCGTGTGAAATTACAGGTAGGAGTACACTATTCAACAAGAAACGCAGTCTTCAGCGTCAAATTCATAAGCATGTAACCTTTAATGTTGAGACCCCCTAAACCATTTTACACTTCTTGGAAAGAGAAATGCACGAGGATTCCGACTGTGCTCCTACTTCAATATACAATAGCCCTTGCAAGGAGCTATAGTCGTTGAATAGTGCCAATGCGGAGAAAAAGTATTTTCGGCGGTACTCGAGCAAAACTCCTTGACGTGGCCATTTTTTATATAATGGACGTATTTAGCAGTTTCATTGACAATTCGACATAGCAAATCTTCTAGTTTATGACGTCATATCAACTTTTCAGATTTGACGAAAATGAAGCAAGTTGTGGCTTCGGAAAATGTAAAAACTCGTGCTCATCATGGATTTTCCTCGTTAATCAACAAATTTCAACAGTACTACATAAGCTGCTCCAGGGCCAACGCAGAAGTTCAATCAACACACAGCTAGCTAGGGTGGTTGCAATGCTCCTTTCAACCGGAAGGGGAGGTGTAAACTGGGTACCGTACTCTTTGCAGTACAGGTAAGTCTTCCGGAGGAAATAAATAATGAAGAGATGTTGTCATAGTATGCCACTTTTAGTGGCTAGATTGTTGTTTTTTGCTCCGTTTCTTTTTTGCTCGTTTGGTAGGACTCATTATTAATAATGATCATTCTCTGACTTTTCCTACTTTCGTACTTCTTAAACGACTTTTTTTGGCGGAAGGTGGGGAAGCAGGGATTTTTTTATGAACAGTTTTGGGGAAAAATCAAACAACCTTTTTATTGTCCGGCTTTTGAAAAGAGTCGTTTCATGGATTTCGGCCTTTGAGGGAGGGAGGGAGGAGGGGGTCGTATTTACAAATTTTCCTCAACAGTTCGCTTCACCCTGCGTCGGCCTCACCTAACACCTTCGTTTTAGGTATGGATGCGCGCAAATGTGACTGGCATATTTTCATCAGACATGGAGTGGAAGTCACCCATAAGTAACAATACGCAGGTCTCACTATGCACAATAAAATGAATACTTAAAGGGAATTAAAGTGAAAATTTGAAAGGTCAAAAATCATTACAAAAAAATCATTACAAAGCTATGTGATTTACAGCTGTATTAATGTGTTGCCAACAGAATGAAAATGAAAAGAAGGAGAGAAATTCCCTATTGATTGCATAAAATACATCGAGTATTTAATCCGTTCTTTTATACACTGCGTTTTATAATTACAGGCCCACCCTAAATTTTTGCTACCCGAAAGTTGCTGTGAATTTTTTGAAAATGCTGCTACTATCATTAGATTCCTCATCGCGGAAAACCTTCATAGTGTATTCTTGACGAAGTTCCCTCCAAGTTTATTTATTTATTTATTTGTGCTTGAACACGCCATGAAATCAAAGTATGTGAAATTAAAGTACTTTAAGTTAAAAATTACAACGATGCTATAAAAATGTCAGTAACAAAACCAGTAAGTAAGCCAACAACCTGAGTTGAGTCCACTAGCCTATCTGCGAGCCACAAGAAGAGACGCATGAGCTTGTCAGCCAAGCGGTTCGCAGTGTTATAGTGTAAAGGAGGAGCGTAAAGGGGACATAGGCACTTGAGTTTGAAACCGGTCTAGGCTTTAACAAAGGCAAATTTCGAGGTAGGACGATCAAACCTTCCCACCGCACGAGATGAGGATTATGTAGACACTGGCCACGCTATACTCAAGCCTGGACATCAACACAGACCTACATCAAGTAACCCAATTAACTTTCCTCAGAACGACCGTATCATGAATATCGGTCCACTCTGGTCACTGCGGAATGAGTAGTCCTGGTCAATATACGCTACTTTTTATTCTTGATTTGGGAGGAATTGGGCATCTTCTGTTGAATACAAGAGTTCTGAGTAAAGTCCGTGCTGAAATGCGGCGTTTCGTGAGCAAAATCAATGTGTGGTGGGTAACCTAGCACCGTGAGATCATCTTCTGGGGATTGCTGAAGTGCGTTTCAAGATTATTGGAACACGACAAGTTCATCACACGTCTCCATTTCTCCGTTGAAAACGCGTCAACCAATTAAACGAAGGTATGGCTGCTAAGACCCTTTCCAATCTAGGACTCTACCACGATAACGCGACTGTCCATGCCTGCCCTTCCACGCCAGATAGAAGTACTTGTCGCGACCAATGTCCCTGGGTCGGTGTATGCATCGGCGGACGGGACACTTGGCCACGGCAGAATGTGGATATTGTAAGGGTCCACACACCCTCTGGGGGGATTGTCACGCCAGAATGCTCTAAGTGGCAGCTGACTGCTGCTGCCTGCCCCGGGAGCTGGTGAGGCCCTTTACCCCCTTAGCCAACGACCTTATTAACCGCGTTGAACATGATAAATATATGACCGACTGTACGTGTTGTATATTACTACACCACAGGACCCAAGATTATTACTACTTTTATGACATATTTCTACAGACATGATAAAGAGGTTAATACTACAATTATGACAACACGGTTATTAGGATATTAAGGAGAGAGAGTGAGACAAAGAGGATAGAGAGGAGAATGAAATGAGGAAGGCCGGGTAGACCGCTACCAGGATATCCAACTGGAGGAAGCGTACTGCTGGTCCGCCGGGGTCGTAGAAAGTGTTAAGGTGGAGGGAAGTGAGCTGATGACTTGAGGCGTAAAGACTCACATCCTTGACGGCTTCTCCGCATCCGGCTGCTCGGGACGAACCATTCACGACGACGACATGACGCAACACTGACTTGTCGTAGGGCGCGCGGCCAGAGACGACAGAACGTTAGCGTAATTTCTCACGCCGTTGGCGCCGGCATATTCGAATCGTGAGAAAGCGTCGAATCGTGGCGTTGGAGCGCAGTTTCCTTCCGGCGCATATCATAACAGCATCCAGGTCGTACGTAAGTCACGACACTCCGGGCGCACAAGCGAGATGCGCCGATGGAAACAAGCGACGTAGACGTGACTGGAGGGGCAAGCCTACCGACCAAGAGAAAGAGTGACAAAAAAGGATACAACAAAAACATTAAAATAATTGGCTGAAATGATAGATTAACCGTGTTAAACTTCAATGGAATAATGAGAAAAAAGAGTTACATAGTAAAAGAGAGAACAAGAAATTAAATACAAATTACAACAAAACATATACATTATCCACACTGCAACTGACTGCAATATCCATATCGTTGACGGCGTTGGCGTGATAACATTAACATCGACAACCAGAACCTGGACAGGCGCATACGCCCAGAGCTTCACGCAGTAAATTGACCATACCAAACAGCTTGACGGCTTGACGTTGGCTTGACAGCTTGATGTTGTGAGAGGAAAATTTTCCTACTAAGCGTGTTTTACGCCAAGGGTCAAACGAAAGGTGCGAGAGAGAGATGGTGAGTCTCGCAAGGCAATTTGGTAGGGGGGTCGAAAAAGCTCCCAAATCGAAAGTGTGATAAATTTGGCAAACAGCGATCTCTCAACGCTGTATGGGACAAAGATGTTTTTGAAAGCCGAAATCCCGAAACGAAAAAGGGTCAGTACAGGAAGTTGCAGACGTAGATGATGTCTTGTCGATACTAGTGCTTCGATTGACGGCAGTAGTAGTCGCAGTACTTGGCATACATCTTGTCGAAAAATGCCTGGACGCTAGGACCGATGTCGCGAACAAGATGGTAGCTGTACGGGCAAAGGGCTTGGTGATGACCCGCAGTGCTGCATACTCGGCAGGGCGATTCGCGTTGACAACTTCCTGGAGCGTGAATCTTGAGGCAGCGTAGGCATCTTCCAGCAGAGACGGCTTTGTGCGCTCGTTCCGTAACAGTCTTGTACTTGGGGCACGTAGCCGAATAGTGGTGGGCACGGCAGAAGTAGCACGACAGGTTGGGAGGTTGATCTTCTTGCATCCGTGCTTGCTTCTTGGGCGGGCTGCCTGACGGAGAACGGCATCGATGCACGGTACGAACTATCTTCCTAGCCGCAGTTGGTGACGGAGGTGCACTAGATGACGGTGAAATCGGAGTGAGCGTCTCTTGTGGTGTTGTGGGCTGCAAGCCTTTTCCAAATCGGGCTGAAGACGTTGATGGAAAATCCTCAGAGAAAGGAGGAATAATGCTGATGACAGGTTCGGCTTGCGTAACAGTAATCGACAACGGCTTCGTCACGGTAGTCGTGGTGATGGGCTCAATAGCAGGAACAGAAGAAGGTGGCATCGTTGACGTGATAGCG